AGGAGTCCTGGCTCCCAGCCCCCCCTGCTCTAGCCACTAGACCCCACTCCCCTCCCAAAGCCGGGATAGAACCCAGGAGTCCTGGCTCCCAGCCCTCCCCTGCTCTAACCACCAGCCGCCACTCCCCTCCCCGAGCTAGGATAGAACCCAGGAGTCTGAGACCCAGTCCCTTGTTCCGACCCACTAGTCCCCACACAGAACAGGCAGAGCGATTGCGCTTAAATCTCAAAGCAAATCCCTTTCAGGCACTCATTGGCACAACCTGCCCAGCTGTGCCAGGGGGCAGGGTGAAGGACCCCAGCTGTGCCATGGGGCGGGGGAGCCCAGCTGTGCCAGGGGGCGGGGGCAGGGCAGGTTGGAGGGAGCCCAGCTATGCCAGGGGGCGGGGGCAGGGCAGGTTGGAGGGAGCCCAGCTGTGCGGGAGGGTGGGGGGGGGGCACCCCAGGGCCGCCCCTACCTTCATCTTGCCCAGCTCGAACTGGATGACATTCTGGCTCGTGGGAAGGACGAAGACGGCCGGGAAGAGTTTGGTGTTCGGCTCCACCTGGCCCAAACGCAGGGAGTGAGAGACGGCCCGGAGCCAGCGGGTCTGCGGGACCTGTCCCCTCTAAGGGGCACCGGCTCCCAGGCCGGGCCAGGGCGCGGACCCGCTGGCTGTGGGGGGGGGGGACCCCGGCTGTGCCCCGGGGGGCAGCTCACCTGGTAGAAGGCGTTGATCTCCTTGCCGTTGGCCGTGAAGGTCATGAGCCCCGTGGCCAGGTCGACCAGGCAGCCGAGCACCAGGTCTACGGTGCTGACCCGGGTCTGCTGCCCGCTGCTCACGAACTCCCCGCCCCACACCAGGTAGCAATTGCTGCGCTTGATGCTGTTGGGAGAGGGGTGGGCCCAGGGGTAACTGACCCATCCCCCCCCCCCCCCCCCCCCCACAGCCACCTACTCCACGCCCCCACGTCCCCACGGCCTCCTACCCCTTCCACCTGTGGCCTTTCGTCTCCCTGGCCCATGAACTCCACCCCGTGACCTCTTGCCCTTCTGCCCCATGGCCTCCCGTGCCAGGGCCTTCCGCCCCATATCCCCGTGACACACCCCCTCCTTGGCATCCACCCAGCGCCCCCCAAGGGTCACCCCCTGCTCCCCAATCTGCCTCCCCCGAGCCCCACGGTGCTGAGCAGTGGAGGCTGGCCGCGGCCGGCCCCCCTCACCTGTCGTGGATGTGGCCCTGGTCGTCGCCCATGGTGACGGTGACGGTGCGCACCTTGCTCAGGTCGAAGGTCATGTCGTGCTGATGGTAGTCGGGGGTGACCCAGCCCACCCAGACGCAGGTGGGCTCCTGGCCCGCGAAGATCCGCACCGAGTGGTAGTACTGGGGGGGGGGGCGCCAGGAGAAGGGGCCGTCAGCCCGGCTAGCACCAACCCCACAGCCTGAGAGAGGAGAGTCCATGCCCGCCCCTCGCAGCAGCC